TATTTTCAACTTTTTGAGGAACCTCCATACTGTTTTCCAGAGTGGCTGCACCAGCTTGCATTCCCACCAACAGTGTAGGAGGGTTCCCCTTTGGAGAAGGCCTTTAAAATCAAATGAACAAAGTAGAGACCAAAAGGGGATATTTAATAAATTTGACATCAAAGAAATCATGTATGTCTAAATATCGAACTCTCTATGCAAAAATAAAAGGCAAAGGACAAACTGGTTAAAAATATACATATACTTTTATATTATATATATTTATGCTTACATTTATGACATTTATGGTGGGAAAAGATCAAATTTTAAATATAAGAATAATTATAAATTAATAAAAAAAAACAGAAAAAGTGCAGAAGTAGGTAATTCGCAAAAGAAGAAAGTTGAATGATGAACAAATACATAGTTAAAATATCAACCTGCAGTTAGCCCAGTAATGGGTATTAAGGAGGGCACGTATTGCATGGAGCACTGGGTGTTAAATGCAAACAATGAATCATGGAACACTACATCAAAAACTGATGATGTACTGTATGGTGATTAACATAACATAATAAAACAAAATTTAAAAAAAAAAAGAAAAAAATCAACTTGCAAATTTCACCAGGTTTGTTGTTTGGGGGAGGGTCCTATCACACTGACAGAAATGGAGAGGATTTGGTAGTGACCGCTTAGTAGGTGAGGAGAGGAAGCGTACTCTCATTTATTGTTGTAAATGGGTGCAACTTCTTGGAAGGGCAATTGGTTGTATTTGTCAAAACCTTGAAAAAAGGCATACCCCTTTGGTGGTGTCTCAGCATTTACTGAGGTTGTTCATGGTACAGTTTAATGTCATGGGAAAATGTTCAGGTTTAGAATGAAAAGGTGGGGGGCACCTGGGTGGCTCAGTTGGTTAAACATCCCACTCTTGATCTCAGCTCAGGTCATGATCTCAGGGTCATGAGATCGAGCCGACAGGGGCTTGCACTCAGCAGGGAGTCTGTTTGAGATTCTCTTTCTCCCTTTCCCTCTGCCCCTGCCCCTGCTCTCTCTAAATACATAAATAAAATATTAAAAAAAAAAAAAAGAAAAGGCAGGCCACAAAACAATACACATAGGGTGATGTGCTTGAAAAAGTGAAAACAGTGACCATGTGCGCTTTTTAAATGTCTTCTCGGTGCTATTTTGAATTTCTAGACTTTCTAATGTGAATATGAATTTCAGAGGGCAGCGAGAAATGTTTACTTTTTTTTTTTAAGATTTTATTTATTCTTCTGAGACACAGAGATACAGAGAGAGAGAGAGAGAGCATGAGCAGGGAGAGAAGCAGAGGGAGAAGGAGAAGCAGACTCCCCGCTGAGCAGGGAGCCCGATGCGGGGCTCGATCCCAGGACCCTGGGATCATGAC